CCCGCCACAATGCCAGGCTATTTTTTGGTTGCAGCCATCATTGTTGTTTGGCAGGTCCAGGCTGGATTCGAACCCGCCACCTTAGGTGTATGTGGCTGGCGCCTTAGCCAGCTGAGCTACAGGTGCCGAGCCGAGTGAGACGCTCTTCAAAAAAAGGTCCTCAAATATGTGATTTCAGAGAAATCAGGATTTTTTTTAGAGTGTGAAACTACTTACAGAGTTAATAGGCATTATTCCACCCATTCAAGCTAGGATGAGACAAATCTCCCTTTTAGGATGATATGGAGCCAAAATCCCTTCTGCATCCCCTCCTGCATGGCTATTGATAGCAGATGTGCTGAAGAACTGCCCTGTTCTCTTCTAGACCAGTTTCCAAGTAGATGGTAGTGATTCAAGTTTCTTCAAGATCAAATGCAAAAATAGAAATAGGATTTTCCATTTAAAATTCAGTGATCTGGTCAGTGCAGGGTGGCTCCCCTGTAACCCTAGCACTTTGGGAGGCCAAGGCAGGTGGATTACTTGAACTCACAAGTTCAAGACAGGCCTGAGAAAGAGCAAGACCCATCTGTAAAAAAAAATAGCTGGGCATTGTGGAGGGTGCCTATAATCCCAGGTACTCAAGAGGCTGAGGCAAGAGGATCACTTTAGCCCAAGAGTTTGAGGTTGGTTTGAGCTATGACGCCATGGCACTCTACCAAGGGCAACAAAATGTGACTCTGTCTCAAAAAAATAATGACAAAAGAAAATTAAAAAGAAAATAAAATTCAGTGATCTGGTATTTAAATCTTTCCATCTCATACCTAACTGACTTAGAGAGAGAAATTAAATGTTTTGTACAAGCTCATAAATTTCATTCACAATCATCATGTATGATTGAAAGTAGGAATAACAGAATATATGGGAATATAGAAGACTAATAGAAGATTATGTCATAGAGTTATTTATAACCTAATTGGTAAGATCAGATTCATATGCATTAAACAGAAAACATTGAAAATTCATGATATAGTTTAGTTAGTTCTGTAAGAGCTAAAGGAGGACAAAGTTAGGTGCATGGTGGGAAGCACAAGAAAGAGACATTCTTACCAAGAACTAGATTAGGAGCCATTTTCATTGGGCACAGTGGCTCACTCCTGTAATCCAGCACTTTGGAAGGATAGCTTGAGGCCAGGAGGTCAAGACCAGCCTGGGTAACATAGTGAGACTCCCTTCTTTACAAAAAATAAAAGATAAATCAACTGGGTAGGGAAGGTGCATGCCTGTAGTCTCAGCTACTCACGACGTTGAAGAAGGAGGATCACTTGAGCCCAGGAGTTTGAGTTGCAGTGAGCCATGATGATTGCTCTACACTCTAACCTGGGCAACAGAGTAATAACACCCTGTCCGAAAAAAACAAACAAAAAAAGCAGCATCTTGGTTGTGAGGAAAGGAGTAAGGAAGACAATCCTAAGAGATTTTGTGGGTAAAAGTCATGATGACAAAACTGTTATTTCCTTGACCAAAAATTGTATGTCAGAATCTTGAGTGCTTAGCAGAATGTCTGATGTAGAATAATTCAAATGATGGTTGGGTTTAATTGACTATTGGGAAAAAATCTGAAGACAGTAGTAATAAGAAGGATTTATCTGAAGGGCTGTTGAGAATCTAGTTTGAAAATTTTTAAGCTAGGAATAATTTCATCAGCCTGGACAATTAGGTGGGCCCATTATAATTTTCTTTTTAAAAATTTTTTTGTTTGTTTTTTGAGACAGAGTCTCATTTTGTTGCCCCTGGTAGAGGTCCATGGTGTTATAACTCACAGCAACCTCAAACTCTTGGGCTCAAGCAGTCCTCTTGCCTCAACCTCCCAAGTAGCTGCAACTACAGGTGCCTGCCACAACACCAGCTATTTTTAGAGATGGGAGTATTACTCTTTTTCAGGCTGCTCTTGAACCTGTGAGCTCAGGTAATCCGCCCACCTCAGCCTCCCAGTGCTAGGACTACAGGCATGAGCCACCATACCTGGGCTACTATTTTAATTTTTTAAAATCATCCTTGCCCTAACCTAACTAGGCTTTTGCTCAACATGTATTTGGCTAAGGAAACCTGTGGGCAGCAGGTGAACTTAAGATTCTACCATGAATGAATGTGGAGTTTCCCCTAAAGTCTACAAGGAGAAGGACAATAAAATTCCTTTGCTAATGGCACCAAAGCTACTGTCAATAGTTGTTGTTATTAAACACTTAGTAATTTAGGCACAATGGCATGCACCTGTAATTCCAGCTACTTGGGAGGCTGGGGAGAATTACTTGGATCTAGGAATTTAAGACCAGCCTGGAAAACACAGTGAAATTTCATCTCAATTAAAAAATAGGTTTTAAAAAATAGAAGAGTGTAG